TGTTGCCAGTTCAGAGAGTCCACGTGGTTGAGTATCAGAGTGTTCCATCTCGTTTCCCTTTGGGGTTGCTGTAGGTGATCCAGAAGTCTGTTTTTGAGGCTTGTTTATGTGTCTTCTCATTTCCACGTGGGGGCGGGGGTTGCTTCTGGCATCTGCACAGCTCAGCTTCTCTGCCCTAGGAGCTTGGGATGGCGGCGGGGGAAGGAGCAAGTGTGTATAGCCAGGAGATGATGTTCTTAGCTTGACTCACCATGGTTGGAAGGACAGAGCAAAAAGAATCCATCATAGGGAGGTCTCATCCTTTGGGGAGGATGCAGAACACATGTTCATCCTGCAATGGGATATTAGCTGGGATCATTTCACCTCCCAGTTTAGAATACCAGATCTGTGTTCTTGTTGCCAGTGGAGGCAAGGGGGTTGAAGCCAAGACTATCATCCCTAGGGGAATAAGCCAAGCACCCATAATGTTATATATGCATTTTTAGGATGGTGGCCCTAGGATTGGGTGGGGAGTATACAATGGCCTTCAGGGGCCATGTTGAAATCTAGGGCTGTACCTCTATACCACAGCACAGTCCTTCCCCTCAGGGCTCCAAGAGGGACATCCAATTTCCAGCAGGGGGTCCATGGGCCATTTTTAAGTCCACTGATTTCAGGTCCCTAGCCACACAGGCTCTAGTGCAGGGATGATCAAAGCCCCTTTTGTTACCTTAGGACCTTGTTTTGTCAGTCAAATGTGCAGGTAGACCAGTCAGCTCTGCTTTCAGAAGGCAATGTAATGGGCTGTTATCTGTACTTCGTTGGGGCTGGTCATTGAGCAATTGAACACCCTGTGGTAAGGCCTGCACCCAACCAATAAACTTTGAAGCCAAATAGGCCAGTTGAATTTTTAAGAGTCCATTATACTTCTTAATTATATCAGCAGCTTGTGGCCGGTAAGGCACATGAAAGTGCCAGGTAATGTTATTGTTTTTGGCCCACTGTTATATCTGAGCCCCTGTAAAGTGGCTTTTTTTGTCAGACACTATTTTTAGTGGCATCCATGTATTTTAGTCAGCCATTGTAATGTCTTAATGGTATGAGCTTAGTCAATAGAGTACAGGGTAGGCAAAGCCTACACCCATGGCAGTATCTACAGCAGTTAGAGCATGTTTATGTCCTTGTGAGAGGCAGGGGATAGGTTGCCAATTGCATGGGCACCTTCCTCTTTTAAGGGGCCAGCTAAACGTACAGGGCATGCTTTTATAGTCACTTTTGTCTTTGTGGGAATTATATCTAAATTTTATTATTGTTATAGCTTGTATGATATGGGGCCCTATGTGCCCCAGTTTTTTATTGAGCCAAGGGACCATTTTTGAGGGTGGACCTCGAAGGGCTCCTTAACAAGGAGTGTGTTAAATGATTTTCTGGTGAAAGGAAAGGCCACATGTGTTATAGTATGGCCACATTTTCCTAAGTCTTGCCATAACTTAGTGTCCATAGGGGTCAATGTCCTATCTGTCAGTCTTGGGCTGCCCAGGTTGGTAACCAGAGCATCAGCCCTTGGAATATGGCCCCACTGTCTGTGTAAATATGTAGAGGTTCATTCTCATGTATAAGTAACCACATTGTCTGTAACTTTGTCCATTGGCTTGACTTGTTTTTCCCAACCTCAAATCAGAGTGTTTCTATACTAGGCTGGACAGTAACCATGGTTTATTTTGGGGTTGTGTTATGACTAGAGCCATCAGTATACTAGGCCTCAGCCGGGGGTCTTTTCTTTTACATAGGCACTAGGGGTTCATGACTGGTAAGTCATCATCCTGTATGTTTTGTTTTGTTTTTGGTACTGGGGAATCGAACTCAGGACCTTGCATTTGCGAGGCAGGCGCGGTGCCACTGAGCTAAATCCCCGGCCCTATCTTGTATGGTTTTCTGGGCCATGTATGTCACGGGTCCCAGCATTGTTCAGTTTGGTCACTAGGGGGCTGGCCGGAAAGAAGGCTCTCTGTTGCAGATGTTTCCCATTGAACTAGGGTGGGTACATGCATCACTACACTCCTGGGATGAGACATGTATGTGTCTACCCAGCCTTCTATTGGGTAGTTTGTATTTCCAGTCTGTTGTCTCATGATTTTTTTTACAGGCATGTAGAGCAGCATATACTGCTGTTCACTGTTTCTCAATCAGGGAATACCTGTTTTTAGCTCCTTTTTACAAATGTGACCAAAAGCCAACAGGATATTTCCACTTCCCTTGCTTTTGTCATAAACCCCAGTCAAATCTAACCTCATCTATGTTCACCATTCGAATGAAAGATAGGGTAGGGTCAACAGCTGGAAGGGCCTGTACTTGAGTGACTTTTTTGAGTCCTGGAATGTAGCTTTCACTGTGTCAGTCCAGTCCCATGTTGCACCCTGTTGAGTTTTCTGATATAGAGGGTGCAACAAGGTGAATTATTGTATGGGGGGGATTACTTTTGTCTTACCTGACTAGATAACACCCAAGAATTTGACAGATAAGCCAGGGCCCTGGACCTTATCTTTGTTGATGCCCCACTTCCAGGCCAGCAAAGCTTTTTTTAGACTGTGTCCAGCAGCTTCCAAATCTGTAAGGCAATCAGAAGTTAATATATCATCAATATAATGGAACAAAGATACAGAGTGTGGCTTGGTCCATGTGGCCAGATCTTGGGCTACCAGGCCAAGGCACAAAGTAGGGCTATGTAATACTCTTGTAGCAACATTTGAAAATTCTAATGTTTGTCTTCCCAGGTGAAGGTAAACTGGTCTTGACTCTCAGGTATGATAGCGATGGAGAGGGCATTTGGCCAGGTCCATTACATAGTGGTATTGATTCAATGTCAGGGTGAGCCAGTCAATTGAGTCAGCAATACTGGGTATCGCTGTATGAAATGCAAGAGTTATTTTGTCCAGTTTTTGGCAGTCTATATTTTTTAAGTCCCAACAGGCTTTCGTACAGGCCAAACAGGGGAAGTAAAATAACTTTGTATAGGGCAGCATATCATCCTTGTTTTTTTCAACCTCAAAATAGTCTGTCTTATTTCCTCATGACCCCAGGCAGCAGTATTGTTTCACACATACAAACTCAAGGCCTGCAGAAAAATCAATGGTGTGTGATACAGACATTTTCATACAATAGTTTTTATTATGTGGATTTGTAAACAGAATTTGTGTGGTATTTAACCTGGGACCAGTTAGTATGTTCACCCCCAGTATGTATTTAACAACTGGGGAAACAAACATCATAGGGACCGACCCTGGGCCAAATGCCCAATGTCCAAAGTCACTTTGGCCTTTTGGGCTATAATGCAGTGACCTTTAATATCTTATGTATATAGTGAGTTTTGTGAAACAGTCTGGGTTGTCATGGATCAGTGCTGACTTGGCTCTGTTACCTATCAATGCCAGTACATGCTGTACATTTTGGGGGGGCCAATAATTACTTTTACAGGTGGCTTCTGGTCTCCCAGGATCCCTACCTAGTCCAGGTGAAAGGCTGCCAGCATCAGCTTATCCTGTTTAACAGGGGCTGCTTTACCTTTGGGCCCATGGGCCAGTATTGTTGGTCAGGGCATAATTGTTTTTACGAAGACAGCATCACATCTAAGGGTTGTCCCTCCAGTTTTGTGTATCGAAGCCAGCTGTTATAAGATCTGTCCAGATTTGGTGGCTTACCTTTAAGGGACCAAGTATCTATTCTTTCATCTCAGAGCCATAGCAGCCATGCAGGCAGTGTCTCATTCCCACAATTCTATCGTGACAGGTCTCCCACTACCTCAGCAGCTATTATGTATAGTAGCTGCCCTCTTCCTATCATCCCTTGCCCCCTCCCCTGTGTGACATCATGCCAAGATGGTTGCTCCCACCAAAGAATAAACTCTTCTTCCCATCATGCCCCTGTTCCTGGCCTAGAAAGTAACCTAATACTTGCTCACCTCCTACCACCCAGTGATATCACCAGCTCCTCCATTCCCTAGTCACTACCTCACTCAACCCCACCTCAGCCCCTACAAACCCCACCCTAGTCTCTATAACTCTCCCTGCCCCGGCCATATTGCTTTTGTCTCTCCTTTGTTCAGAGACAGCCCGGCAGATCTATTCCCCTAATAAAGGCTTGTTGTGGCCTGGTCTGGTCTTGGTTTTCAGCCCTTTTACCTGACACATAGCTGTGTAGGTCATGTATGTTGTGTGGCGGGTAGACCTAGGTGGATCCCCTGGTCCCTCTTCTTGCCTCAAGGGCTTTTTTTTTACGTTTGGATAGCAGGTCATGTATGGAACATCAGGGGACTCTCCTGGTATGTGGGACTTATGTTCTGAGAGGAGGTAGTATTTCCAACTTTTTTAGTATGGCTTTTGTATCTGTCACACATCGTTTTGGTATTTTTTTTTTTGGTTTGTGGTAGTTGGTTCAAATGTTGGATAAGGTCTTTTGCTCTTATCTCATACTGAGGAAGAGACTAAAAAACAATCGAATCATCCTCCCCACTGTTTTACCATGGTGGGAGAGGAATTTGTGTCTCCAGTGTTTCCAAGGCCTATAAAACATCTCTGGTCAGGCAGACCACCTCTCAGTTTTCAGGAGATTTCCAAGCTGTCAATGAAGTTGCTACTGGCAGCCAAACCGAGGCCGGGGGATTATTTTAGTAACTTCTGGGGTTCCTCTCCACTGTCTGGCACTGCTTCCACAAATGTGTTGGTGGGGACCCTCACCTGAACATCCTGCTGACTATGCCAACTGTTTGGGCCAGTGGGCTGAAGGGAGACCGTTACGTGAGGTTCCAAAGAAAAGAATATGCGTGGAGCAGACATTACAAAGCAGGAACCAAACATTAATTTTCAGCACAGAACTTACAGAAGTTCTTTATCAACTTACTGAGACACAGTAAGACAAAACATTCTGGGCAACCTTCTAGGCTGTGTGATACATGTGTGGTAGTCTCTGTTGATTCATTATTATTCAAGGAAGCTCCATTGTGTGCTCAATGTCAGGATTGTGTGCTCAGGTGCTCTCAGGCACCTGGGCTTTGACACATCTCACAGTGGCTCCCTACAACAAGTACTTAAATAACTTAACAATTCTACTTTGGAAAACTGCATTAGATATTTTCATGTAAATATGACCACACAACCATTTAAAGACACAAAACAGGGGAAGGGTGTTTTCATGCTTTTAAAAATCTTGGCATAAAGGTAAGCACAGACTACAATTGAGAACATGTTGTGGCCATGTTCACCTTTGTTACGGTTTGTACTAGTTACTTTTCTCTTGTTGCTGAGACAAAATATACAACATCCAAAAGTTAAAGAAGTAAAAGTTTATTTAGCTTACAGTTTGTAGAGGATTCAGTCCATAATTGGTTGCATCCAAAGCAGAGTAGCAATAGTTCATGGTGGTGGAAGAGAGCAAGAGAACTTAACAGTATCTTCCTCTCCCTTTTATCTTATTCAGACTTAGGGTGAGTAGCACTCACATCCTTAATCCTAATGCTCTGGGGCCTAGCACTGCACCATGAATCACAGTCTAGATTCAGGCACCTCCAAAATAGCCCCAAGACTGCATGAAGCTTTTGGGGGGAAGGGGAGGATGACCATCCAAACACAAGCCATAACATAGTTTATATCTAGATGTTCCTGAAAGCTTCATGTAATCATAGGTGGGACTTATGGGAGATAATTGGATTATGGGGGCATTATAGCTGACTTGCTATTAAGAGATAAGGTCTCAGAAGACGGAGGTCACTGTGGGTGTGACTTGAAAGAGTCTATTTCCCTTCCCAGTTCCTCCCTTAACTCTGCTTTTCTACCACCATGCCTCAAGAGCAGTGTCCCCTCTGCTATGCCCCTCTGCCATGCCATAGTGCCTTGGAGCAAGCTGACTCTGAACTGAAACCTCCACAAACTGAGTCACAATGAACCTTCCTTTAAATTGTGGGTGTTGTGTATTGTATCCTAGCAATATGAAAGTGACTAAGACACCTTTGAAAAATTAAGACAAGCCACACCCACTAATCTACCACATCAAGGGTAGGATACTCCTTTTAGATCCACAACTGTAACTGAAACATGGACAGAAAGAAGCCACCATAGAAAGTTCAAGCCTTTTTTTCATAACTTCAAAACTAGGGAGTACAATCTTAAAAAAAGAAAATGTTCCATTTGGTATTGGCTCACTCTTCATTTATTGATACACATAGAATTAGTGAAACAGCAATTACTTTGGCATGTTTAGTAAACCTGACCTTGCTTATAGTATTTCCATCTCAGAAAACTTTAAAATCCAAGTCAATGGTCTTCTTTTAGAAGGCATTCTTCATTCAAATCTGATTAATAGTAAAACATGCTTTATTAAAAATAAAAATGTACTTCACTTTTGTCATCTACATGCTAGAATCTTAAAGTTGTGAACCAGGTTACTGCCTAAACTGCTGGTCCAGGCAAAGATAACAAAAATTAAATTGTTAGGGCCAGGGATTTAGCTCAGTGGTACCATCACCTGCCTCCCAAGCACAAGGTCCAGTTTGATCCCCAGTAGCAAAAAAAAAAAAAAAATTGTTATATGAAGTAACTAGTCTACTAGCACAAGGGAGGGAGAAGGAGAGAGGAAAGCTTTTGGAAATGTTAATTTTATGAAGAAATAAAAGATAAACCTCCTTCCTCACTGTTCAGTGATAAATTGAACAATAATTTCCCTACTCAGAGAACATAAAAATGAATCAAAGTGCATAATAAATTCATATTAAAAATGATTCATACGTTCTTTCCACAAAACAATAAACATAAAAAGAATGTAAAAGATTATTTTACTTTCGAATATTTAGGTAACATATAATGAATCTCAACTTCTGAGCTTTTATATATAGCATTAGACATGTAAAAATAATATAGAGCCTTAAATAAAAGTAAAGTGATAAAACTACATGCATAAAATGCCCTAAACATTGGCAATAATTAAATTCTCCCTAATATTTTATTATCTAAAGCTCCAAAATTATCAAACCCTTTAGTGCATTGAGCAATCAAAATAATCGTATTCATTCAGGTTTAAAAATAAATCTCTCCTCTTGAAATATGAAGGCATCCTGCATGCATGGATGTGCAAAGTCTACAACATGATCTCATTATGTCATCATAGCTGCACCTTCTTGACCAGTGGCATCTTGGGAAATATGAAGGTCTTCAAGCATCTCAGCCAGACTAATTCGAGGTGCTCCTTCATCATCTGTGTCACTTTCAACAGGGATAGTTGAATCTAAGAAAAAATAGGATTTCAAATAAATACAAATATGAAAATACAGAAATACCTGCTTCCACCATTATTAGCATCATTTATAAAAGTCTGACTATAGTAGTTTAAAAAATAATCAAGAAAAAGTCACTTATGAAAATCAAAATTTAGGATACCATAATATTCTCACTGGGACTACAGCGGACCCTTGGCTTACAAACTCAATTTGTTCCCAAGGGCTGGTTGTCACTCAGGTTGGTCAACTGAAGGCTCAGGCTCCTCTACACAGCTTTCAAAGTCTCTCTCCTGTATACAGGCAGATCTCAGTGTCCTTAGAAAGATACTGGCCCAGGATTTCTCAACCCCACACAGGAAAGGATGTTGTAATGTTCCTTCCAGAACTCTTTAAGGGTTAAATCTGTACCTGAGACCATGTGGAAGCACAAGCAGCCGGTATTCAGGTTGTAACTCAAAACTTTGTTTGTAAGTTAAAATTAAAATTCCAGTCATAACCGAAGATGTTCATATGTCAGGATGTTTGTAAATCGAGGGTCCACTGTATACACAACATATGACACCAACCTCTATAAATGTTGACATTTTTTCTAATTGCCTCATCTTCTTCAAGATCTTCAAGAAAATCTTGGTATTGCCTGTAGGATACAGAAACATTTAAATATTTCATCTCCACCAAGAAAGTGTGAAGTTTCATTTTTATTTATTTATTGTTTTGTTTTGGGTTTTGGTACAGGGGATGGAACTCAGGACCTTGTGCCTTTGAGGCAGGTGGCGGAACCACTGAGCCAAATCCCCACCCCTGAAGTTTCATTTTTAGCTGAGAGGCAAATGTGCTCCAAGTATTAAAATCTTAAGAAGGTGGAATACAGACATTAAATACTGACAAGCTGGAAAAAAAAAATCCTATCAAAATTACATTATAAAAAACAGCTGAGTATAATGTAATATTAAATAAAAAGAAAATACTTCCCACCTCAACTCTGCCCCCAAAATGTCTTAGTCAAGTTGAAATAGACTTTTGAGTCTATAAATGAAGTAGCCAAATATGTACTTATAATGTCAAATGAATTTAACACATTATATATTTGAGTATTTCAAAAATGTAATTACAAGATTACATTTTTAAATACTGCTGTTTCTTAATTCACACTGCATGAAACAATTTACAAACATCGCTTTTTAGACATCAATGTTTTCAGCACCATTAATACTTTTTGAATCATCCTATAAACTTTTTACAGAACATATTATCTTCATTTAAACTAAAGCTGTTTGAGAAATAACATATTTGACAACAATGAGCTATTTTCTTTTAATCTCAAATCACTCTTTTCTAATGTCATTTGTGATAACCACAAAGTAATTACTGTATTTTAACTTTTCAACTGAATTATTTACATTAATATTGCAATTATAAGATAATAACCCAAGAAGCAATTATTAAATCTGTGCTATCATTACATCCTCTTACACCATTTTCATCAATACCATGTCAAGAATCCAAAATTAACACAGTGCAAAGATAACTGTGTGATGCCTATTTCTTTATAATATAAAAATAATTTATCATAAGGATTTTCTTTCAGAAAATATGTAAGGTTTAAAGAAAAGTGGGACCTTTCATCATCTGTATCCATATTTTCTCTATCTCTTGCAAGCTCTTTCAGTTTCCAGTTTCTACGGCGTTGACGTTTGGTACGGTCATAGCTCTTCTTGATTAATACCTGTAACAGAAATATTTCAAAGTTATAAAACATAACAACTACAAAGTAAAGCCACAACATCCAATAAAGTTAAAAAATGAAAGGCTATAGGAATGCCCAGGGAATTCACCAAATTGATGACAGTGGTTATACCTCAGGAAAAAGGTGCAGGGATCAGGAGACAATGTCAAAAAGACTTAAAACTTTTCTCTATCTATTTATATATGAGAATGCATTTGATATTATTTACATAATTATTAAACTTACTAAGCGAAATTTTCCAGTGACCGAATATTAATTTTTAATACAAAAAACATGCAGTATTTTTTAACCTCAAACTTCAATTTTCAACTACTACACATATAGATCATCTTGAAACATCACAGGCAAGACACTTTCCTTTATTCTAATAACCACTTATAAAACTATATATAACTTTCACAACAGTATACCTTAGAATAATCTTTAATAATTGTAGAATAAATAAATGAAAATAATTGTACACAATACAAAATCTTTTAAGACTGCCATGGATCTACTCAAGACCTCATTAGAAATATGTGCTTTGGGAAGAAAGCAAAGTGGCATGCCATGTAATCTCAGTTACCTGGGAGGCTAAGATGGGAGGATCATGCATTCCAGGTCAGACTGGACAATAAAGAGAAAGGGAAAGGGAAAGAGGGAAAGAGGGAAAAAGGGAAAGGGGAAAAGGGGAAAAGGGAAAGGGAAAGTGAAAGGGAAAGCGAAAGGATTTATACTCAAACCACCCTTCTATTTCCCAATTTATCAATCAATGAAAGCAAAACTGGGTGGTAACAGTGGGAGGATCCTTCTTTTATCATGACTATTTCTGCCCAAAGCTAAAGAAATCAATGTGTATTTTGAAAGATTAAGCAAGTAAAAAATACAGTCTTTAATTTAATTCACTATTGTTCATAATTCTTAAACTCATCATGTTAGAATTTAACAGATTTTTCACAACTAATAGTCCTTCTCTAATATTTGATAATATAAAGATTATTTTCTACTGCAATTATATTTAACTTTGAATGTCGGCATTAACTCTAAATGCCTCTTAATTGGCAACATACATGAAACAAGCTAAGCCTAATTAACATTGAACCTGAATACATTCTAAAAGTCAGCATTTCTAGCTGCAAGCTTGCTGTACAGATAGTTATCAAGAATTTTGACAGAGAATGAAAATTTAATTATAAAGAGCAACAACAACAACAAAAACTCAGTAAATCTTGGATTTATCCCACCAAGAAAAATGATGTAAAGACTTCTGAACCCTGGCAAATGGTACCCTTTATCCCAGGTTCTTGTAGGCTGAGGCAAGGGGATTGCAAGTTCGAGGCCAGCCTGACCAAGTGAGCAAAACCCTCTCTCAAAACAAAAATTTTTTCAAAAGGTTGGAGGTGCAGCTCAGTGGTAAAATTCACCAAGCATCCAGTAAGCACCTGGGTTCACTCTTCAGTAACCATCCTCCCAAGAAAGGAGTGAAAATTAAGGGGTAGGGATGTAACTCAGTAATATAGTACTTGCCTAGTATATATGAGGCCCTGGCTGATTACTAGTACTTGCTAAATAAATAAAGACTTAACAGAAGTCTAATATGCCTTAAATAATTTCAAAAATTGATGTATTATTTTCAAAATTATGAACTCATGTACCTCTCTCATAAGAATTCCATCATCTTTAACACAAGAAAAAAGAAAAATCTAAAGCCTTACCACATCTGGAACTTTATCTGAGTTCATTTTGTTGACATGCTCATCATTTAAGTTACAGTTGGCCAAATCAAATCTGAAATATAAACAATGAAAAACTTCAGTATTTACCCTTTGTTTTACTTTTCATTTGACAAATATTCACCTAAAACTTCCTCCTAAGTCAAACAAATAATGCTGCACACTTTTAAAAGTTTTATTCTTTATTATATAATGAACACTCTTTTGCAGTCCTCAAAAAGATAAAAGGTAGTCTATGAGTTTTGTCCACCTTTCCATATATTTGTTAAGGAAGCAAAAGACTTGTATATGTTTAATAAAAAAACTGCTCCCTGAAAAAAGCTGTAAATATGCATCTAATTATATAAAATCAGGGTTCAATCACCAAAACATTGAAACAAATGACTCTTTTAGATGATGGCCAAAATTGGAACAACTATAGGTCTGTCCAATCCATAATTTAGTTACCAATAATGGGTTATAATAGGTTTCTGAGAACTCTTAAATCTTCTCGGAATGAACAACTTTAGTATTTTAGGTGGCTTTTTTGGCTACCAAAAAATATGCAGTGCTAAATTGGCAGTTTAAAATACTATAAAATAATACAAACCCCAACACTAGGTCTCCAGGATTCAGAAGATGTCCCAAATGAGTGCGACAAAAATACTGTTTATCTGTATCCATTTCGGATGTTTTCTGTACCCAGACTTCCCCGAGGGTATGCTTAAAAGGAAAGAAAATGTACTCTTCAATAACCTAAACTTAACTCAAGAAGGCTTTCATAGAAAAATTAAATACAATATTGATTTTTTAACTTTCTCATTTTCATTTTAAAGGCAAGAGTTTTTTTTTTCCCACATCTCTGAAGTACTATCAAAATTACCAATTATTGAATCATGAATATAGAAATGGGAAATCTTAAAAGCAAATAAATGAACTTTGTTAAGATTTGGTCAAGGCATTTATAAAAGAGTAACAACGTTCTCTGAAAAACAGACACACACAGAAGCTCAGTGGTGCCGCACCTGGCTGGCAACTGCCAAGGTCCTGAGTTAGATCCCCGGAACCCGAAAGAAAAAAAAAAAACCAAGACAGACAAACACAGAATTGTCAAAAGAAATCTTTTCACAGGAAGATTGGCCAATACAAACTGAGCAAACACCTAACTGAAAAAGTAGGTCTCTTAAATCAAGAAAATATTCTAAGCAATGCTTAGAACACAAAAAAGTTCAAAACTCCAAGATTCTGACAAAATAACCTTGAAATCTCAGTAGCATACTACCAGAAAATCCAAATCTTTACCAATTAATTTTTTTAATATTTGAAATTCTAAACTAGAAAAGTGTTAATTCCCTTTAAAAAATAAGATTTTACAAGCACTTGTAAATGACATTTCATATGTAGGTTGAATTAACAATACTGCATGCCTACCTTTTAATAACACAGACAAACCAAGTAAAGTGAGACCAAGAGCAATATACTACAAGTTAATGATAGAATCAAGGAGTCTCAACACAAAGAGATAAAAAGAAGAGGCAACAGAAGAAAGAAAATGAAATAAAAGATCAGCATCACTTTCCAAATATTCTGGCAAAAAAAAAAAAAAAACCCTAAATTTACCCAAATCTTTAGATACACTCTCTAGTTTAGAGAAGATACAAGGCACTAAGAGCAAGTTAAATGATATCATGAGGCAACAGTAAGATACATTCAGAAGGTATTCTATAAGATAAATGTCCTCTCTGTTTAAGGAAGTTGGTACCATGACTCAAAAGAAACCAACCAAACAAACAAACAACGACAAAAAAAAAACAAAAACAAAAACAAACAACAATAGAGCTATTATAAAAAAATTTAAGAAGTACAATATTCACCATAATTTAATGTGTGGCCCCCAATTGGATACTAGTCAGAACAAAGCATAAAAGTCACTTTAGGGACAAATAAAGTAATCTGAATATAGACTATAAATAGCTTATAGTTATAATAGTGCTATATTGTGTTAGAGATATATATTGAAATATTTAGCATATAGTAAAAGTTTTTTAAATGTCAAGAGGTTAGTTGGTCACTTAGTCCTCTTCTACAAAAATAAAGAAAATGGTATTTTAGAATGGAGTAAACATTTAAACTTTCTCCAACACAAAAGAAAAAAATTAACTTACCAGGCACCATAAATCTGATCATTTTTACAATGATCCCATGTTTTATTTAAAAAAAAAAAAAGAAAAAGGAGGAAATGAAAATCCATGAAGTGTATTTTTAATCTAATATAGTGTTAGCTTTATTTGGATTCCATAATAAACAAGAAAAACAGTAAGATGACAAAAAGTACATAAAAATGGTGAGTAGAATGTAGCTTACCTTTTTTGATATGACTCCAGCACCAGCACTGCGTTTGAGATCTCGGACTATACTGCATTCCATCACAATAAACTCTTCTAGCTGTTTGGGATGGCATAAACTATTGAAAGGATGACTCCAGAATGTGCTCCCATCAATATCTGCAACTAAGATAAGCACAGAATTCTAAGGAACAAAAAACTGACGTATTTCAAAGCGTCACCAAATATGTTAATTAGGAAGGACACGGGATATACCAACTAGAAAGAATGAGATCAACAAGAACTACAACTGAGAACTCACCCTCTCGGGTCATCTTTATTCAAATAAATTAGCCCCAAACTTCTCCCAGCACAAGGGAAATAGAAGGTATCAAACATATCGTAAATATTAACTATAATTAGAAAGCCACAGAGCTACACGTCTTTTAAATAAGATCAGATTCAATCAGTCATATATTGGTATTTTATTTTACATACATATTAGCATCTTAGGTGCTTAAGTTCTTGCTGACAGATAAAGAATGTCCATCATAATACTACAAATAGCCCTCTGGCTAATGACCGTAACTGATAAGGATAATAAACTGCTTCCTGGAAAATATCAAAATAAACTCAATTTTTTATAACAGAAGACATTTCATGAAACTTATAAAAAAAGGTCAAGTAAGAGATCCAGCCAACTTCACTGAGCCATCAACAAGCAATCTTCTTTAAAAAATAAATTTTATAAAGGAAATATTTTTAAATGATCTATAATGATAAAATTAGTTAAAATTCTTATTCAAATAAATGTTCCACTGGATCACAAAAAATTAAAGGTTTCAAAATTTGAAAGTTAAAAAATTTAAAATACTTGTTAAATACTAAAGTTTACCAATGAACTTTAGTAATTAGTCACAAAAATAAATGATATAAATAAGTCAGTTTCAATAAAAATGGAATAAAACTAGGAAATCTGTTTAAAGTTCATACTTGTTCCTTTAAATAAAAAATACAAGGGCAACCAATCAAATGCCTTAGAATTCCAGTGTTTTATAATTATTAAACAATAGTACAAATTTTAACTGGTCTTTTAAAACACTACTATTGAGAATGATAAAACAAACAACAAAAATTATTATCGCTTAACATATATACAACTATTGTCAAGGCAAATTTAGTTTTCAAAACTTACCTTGCAAGGTGTTTGGATCAATGAGGTGGATTGCACTGGATATTCGAATACACACACATATCTGGTTCATATTTCCCAGGCTTTGTGCCAGTTTTGGAGACAGACAAACAACATTATCCTAGGCATAAGAAGTAACATTTAAAACAATGCAAATGATAAATAAGAGTCATTGTAAATGCTTATCAATGTAAATAAAGACAAACTGTACTTACGCAACCAAAACACTAAGAAACTGAAAATAAGATATAACTTCTTCAGGCAGACATATTTGTCTTAATTAAAATGCTTTTAGAAATTTTCCAGGAATTTTCCTAGAATTTTCCTAGTCTCCAAGCTATTAAATTCATTTCAGTATTATTACAGTATGAATGCTTATCATTCTACATGTTAGTACAGTGTACATTCTAATCAAAGAAGTAGGAGTAGTGTGATCTTCTAAATCTGACTTCTCTCAATATTCATAAAAACATTCAAAGGAACATGTTTCTCTTAAAAGGTTCTATATACCATATACCAATATGTAATCAAATGTTTTAATGCCCAAAGTCACATGTCTACATGTATTTTGGGAAATATTACATAAATCAACAATGTAATTATCTGTTTTTAAACTGTATTATGGTAAAAACGATCTGTGTTATATTTTAAGCTATACCTATTCACAAGAAAAGACTCTCCACTAGTGGAACATTCTGTGTATAATAACTCCTCTCCAATCTTTGGTTTTTAACTCAAGAGTTTCAGACAAACAAAAATACAGTCAGCTGTCCATATCTGTGTGTTCCACCTCTGAGGATTCAACCAAGAGATCAAAACTATTTTTTAAGGGCCAAGGATTTAGCTCAGTGGTTCCACCACCTGCCTCACAAGCATAAGGTCCCAAGTTCAATAACCGGTACCAAAAAAAAAAAAAAAATTTTTTTTAAATCTGTACCTTTACTGAACACATGGACATTTTTCTTGTCATCATTCCCTACAATGTAACAAGTATTTACATAACCTTTCCATTATATTAAGTACAAGTAATCTAGAGATAAAGTATATAGGAAGATATGAATAGGTTATATGCAAATACGACACCACTTTATATAAGGGATTTGTGCATCCTCAGATTTTGGTATCCTTATGAGTTTCTGGAACCAATCCCCTACAGATATCAAGAGATAACTATATATCTTTACACTCTATATTCCCCTAGTTACTTTATGCCCACACCTAAATTTTTATGTACCGGTCTTTGTGCCAAGAAAATATTCACTTTTTAAAACCAGAGGTTAGGATAAAATGGTGCTCAGAGTCCACCGCTTGTTTTTTGTAAAATTCTGCTTGACTATACTGCTGGCCATTCACTTACATATTATCCTTGGTGACATTTGTGCAACAATAGGAGAGCTGCAGTTGCAAAAGGAATTATATGGCCTGAAAACAAAATATTTACTAACTGGTCCTTTACAGAAAGTTTTGCCAACCCTGTTTTAGGCTCTTCTTTCATCCCTGGTGCTATATTATAAATTAGTATTAACACTTTAAAGCTTCAGAGATACAGACATGGGTACAAATCCTGACTTCATCATTTTCTGGTTATGTAACTTTAATCAAGTCATCTAATCTACTTAAGCTTCAATTTCTTCATAATATGGTTTATCTCAGTTATTATGAGACATGAACAAAGTGAAAGATACTATAGTATGTAGACATTAATTTTATGTAGAATGATCACAATAAATTACGGCAATTGTCATTTTAGTAATTCAATATTACCATGTAAGTTCCTGCAAGTTAGAGAACTCTAGCAAAATAATCTGTACTGCACAGCCTTACTATACTAATCTGTACTATACATGAGATACTCAATAATTTATCCACTGAATTTTAATTCATTCATATTTTTGAACCATTGTTTTATATTACAATTAAATGAAATGCTAATCTACGTTTTAAGTGTTTTATTCAGATGTTTTTAAATAAAAATGACTCTGAGATCTCAGTTCCATAATATTGTTTAATATGGCCAAAAGCCTATTTGTACATGTTCCACAAAAATGGCTAATTTTTTTTTTATTTTGGTACCAGGGATTGAACTTGGGACCTTGCGCCTGGGTGGCAGAACCACTGAGCTAAATTCATTCTAAGTTTCACAGACCTGTCATACATTCACTAAGATCACAGTTTTTTTTTTAGGATTTTCCTTTTTTCTCTTAATTTGCAATACATAATGTTTGTGATACATAATGAATATATTCATCATGGGAAGTTGGCACATACATATATCACATCTTAGTCCTTTTTATTTCCCCTTCCCTTCCCTTTCCTCCCTTCTCCCTCCATCTCTAGAAACCCTTCCCAAATGCAAAAGGTCTACCTCCCTGTTTAGGATAACAATTTTAACGAATATGGAGACTTTTAAAAACTACACTCAGGTCTTCCGATCTTAATACACCAAAAGGCATACCAATTCATAATTATAAGATTATTCTCTTTACATTTTTTAACATGGTTGAGTGTGTCAGAATCATTTAAGAAAGTTAGTCTAAATTTTAACCACCCTAGAAAGAAAACCAACTAATTACTTGACCTCTTATAAATATGGATTAATTAAAAAACAAAAGTACCTTGCATATTGGAACAATTTCCACAGAAAAAGTGCTTCTGTAATTGTATGTATTACTATGGATATCCTGAGAGATCAGTCTTTGTGATGCTTTGTATCTATTGAGAAAAAAAGTTAATAGTAATGCAAAGGTCTTGTTTGTATAGGCTTTGGAACCAATTTTCATCAAATCAAACTGTCACAGTCCAAGGTCTGAAACAGCTTTTTGATGCCTGCTATAGCAAAGCCTAAGCATCTACTTTTACTAAAAACCTTTATAAACATTCCACCTATTTTCAACCTTCTCAAGCTCCAAAATGTACCCTTGGATCAGACTAATCTACTCCCTATACATCCATTAAAAAGCCACAGTAATGCTCACTGAAAGTCTTTGTTCACACTAACCTTACCTTTAATATATACTCTACCTATGAAAACTTCCCTCATCCTTTGAGTCCAAGTCCTACCTCCCCTCTGAATCTTGTACCCAAAATCCTCTCACCCCCAACTACTCTTTCTATTATCATTCAAATAGTTGATCCATATTTCAGAACCACAGTACATATTATCATGGAGTTAGGTCTAACTCCCTAAAGAGATTTTTACATACTCTTTAGCTGGTATATTCAATACAGTGGCTAACTCAATTATTGCTTCGTGACTGTGTAAGTACTCCTACTAAAACTTTAAATATTTTAATGTAAGATATCTAAGCCTGAAGGACAGATGTGTCCTACATCCATTCTCATTTCCTTGGACTTAGTCACATTTAAGTTCACAACATACCTACAGGGAACTGTACACTGAAGAAATTCTACCATCTTCTGAGCATGTTGTTTTGAGGAATAATAGAAATCCAGACCATCTTTAAAAAAAAAAAGCCATATAAATAATTCTGCTGGGCCGGGGATTTAGCTCCGTGGTGCTGCCGCCTGCTTTGCAAGCGCAAGATCCTGAGTTCAATGCCCAGCACCAAATAAATAAATAAATAAATAATTCTGCAAAATAAGGTTTGCCTCTACTAACATGACTACATCCCAAATTATATTCATATTCAAAAGAATCAAATTATTAGAAATATTAAGAACAGCAAATTATAGTCACAACAGATTAAGGACATCACTTCAGATTTGTTTGACAAAAGGACAGACAAATGCTAATAAATGAAAACAGGACTTACAATTTTAGTTCTATAGAGAAAAAAAAACCCCAAAACTAAGGGGCAGAGAAAAAGAACAAAGAAAAGTATTTTACATAATAAGTGGAACAATCTATCTTAAGAAATCTAATAGTATTTATGTATCATTTTATTATTACTATACTGAGTTTAGGCTTCTGAATTAATACCTCCATCACAAATACCTTAGGCATAAGAAAAAACATTACAAAAGAACTTACAGATCTCAGACATAATTATGTTCTTCCAAAAAGGAATATCTCTCTCCATTACTTTTTGTTTTTAATGAATTTCGTATCAGCGATTTAGACTATATCAATATAGTTACTGATTTACTCCTCTAGTTAGCAGGATGAGCAACTGTTGAAAGCAGGAATATTAATTCATCTGCATGTTTTAAAAACCCAAACACAGTCTATCACAAACTACATGCTTAGAAAATATCTTGAACTGTGATGGGGAAAGAACACCAAAGAAAAAAATTATATTTCTACATACGTGCTACCTAACAGACTAGCCACATATAAATTTAATGTAAACTTAATGTAAATTTAAAGTAATTTTAAGTTAAAATAGGAGAAAATTAAAAACTCAGTTCCTTGGTTACTCTAGCCATCTTTTAAATACTTAAGAGCTACATATAGCTGGTGATTCCCACACTGGCTAATGCAGATAAGATAAAAAACAAACACTGTTTTCTTCCTAACAGAAAATTCTTTTGGATAATAATTCAGATATTAACAGTAAAGATAAGATTACTTAGATAAGTTGAAACAAAATTTTGTCATTGTTTCAAATTCTTTAAGTTTTAACTCACCATGAATCTCCTTGATACGAAGTGTATTCTGATGTACTCCATATTTTAGAATCAACTGTTCCAGATAGTAGAATGTTTTTTTGTGCAAAGTCTAAATATAAATGCATTATTGAATCAATAAACTAAATGCCAAGAGTAATTTTCAAACATATATACATATCTACAAATATAAACTCACTCTGCAAATCAATCTCTCAATCTCAAGAGACTTGAATTTGCTACATAACATTTGTTTTATACTATTGTTTCAAACAAAAACAATTTTTAACAATTATCTAAACACAAAATAGTGATCCATTTCCAAAGGTGAATGCTCCAGAGACCCAGACTTCCTCATACTTAAAGCATACGGAAAAAAGAGAAAAGAGAAAGTTTATAATGAACCAAAATGAATTACAAGATGTAGGATTTACTCATCATCTTTTCTGCATTTACCTTTTGCCTGACTTGAACCACAGCCTTCCAGAAATCCTTAGCTTCCACTCTGTGGCAATCTCCACACATTTGGGACTGAACAACATAATCTACCACAAACACTTGCTGAAGGATAGCACCATTCATCACCTGGAAAAAAAAAACAATTAGGCTCCTTCGTTCTTAGTTTTGCTTAATTGTAAATATTTTTCTTAAAAAAGGATGCTTTAGTAACTAAACTTTTTTTCTATGAATGCTTTGAGGCTATTAGTCAAATTTAAAGGCATAAAAATAAGTTATATTATTTTAAGAAACGTATACAAGTTTTTTGGGTTTTTTTCTTGGTACCAGGGATTGAACTCGGGACCTTGCACTTGTGAGGCAAGCAGTGGAACCACTGAGCTAAATCCCCAGCCCTACAAGTTTTAATTTGTAAAATTTATTAGATTAATATTTCAAATTCAACTTTTGTTAAACTGATTGTGAGAGTATTCTCTAAAGAACTGTGTACACTTATGTGTACATGCATATGTGTACATATATATACTGCTCTTTGGAAATACACACATATACAAACACACACATACACACACAAAATTTACTCTTAAAAGAAAAAAAGAACACCAGGAAAATCCTCAAAAAGAAAATATTCTTTAATGTAATAATTCCCAAACATAGCCCATTATAAATCACTTAGGAAGCTTTTTAAATACACAGTATAGAGGGGATGGTGGTATATCTCTGTGGTAAAGTGGTCACCTAAAATGCCTGAGGCCCTGGGTTCAATCTTCAGCAACACAGAAAAAAAAAGAATAAAAATATATGGACTTCTGGGTCTCACATTAAGATTCTGAATCAGCTACTATGAGTCAGTATGATGATCAGCCATGTTTGCTTTAGGCTGTTTTTATTTCAGTCATTTTCCTAATAAAATGAAGAGGTGATATTGAGACTTCCTCATATAGCCCACTGCACTTTCCCCAGAATGTCATTTTACCTTACTTTTGTTTTTCACTTGGCCCAAGCTCACTCTGCAGAGCCAGTTCTCCCTCACTCTTTACTTTCACTTTCTTGAATAAACTTTGCCACTGCTTTTTGCTCATTTTGTTCAATTCTTTGTTTCAGATGAGAAGAACCTGGAATCTAACTCCAAAGGGAAAGGGGAGCAACCCAGAAGCTGATAACGTTTAACTGATTGGCTCCTCTCTCAGATTTGGTGTCAAACATTGGAATATAGCAATGTGAGAAAGAAGAGGGAAGTGGGTCCCTGGGACCCAGCAAGGATCTGAAACATAAACTGAAGTCCACAGGAAAAGGAAGTAGAGGGACCTCCACAAAGAAGGAGGTGGCAAGCAGTACTTTCTCCCTGAGCCCCAACTCACTTCATGGGAAGGGTGGCTCAAACTTGCAGATGCATGGTGACTACTGGCAACTCCAGAGGCCTCCAGGGAGAAACAGAGCAGTGAATGCAGTGGACTGTAGTGGCTAGTGAGTTATTAGGGTTCAGACATCCATCTTGGAGAAGGGCCAACTGAGCTTGGAATTCAGAGCAGCTGCAGGATGGCTCCATCAGGGTGAAGTAGAACTGAGTTCAAGTCGGTAAGAAGTCAAGGAGCCAAATTCAAGCCAGAAGGAGGAACAAGGAGTGTTACAGGCTAAACAAACTGGGTAGAAGCCTCACACCCAGAAACCAGTCTGAGCTTCAGAACTAAAAGTGAAGCCTTGCTGGGATTATCCGTTACCCCACCATTAATCTATGGCTGGCCTGTTGAGATTAATCGGCATGGGTCTGGACCCTGTCTGACTACTTTATCTAGTGTGAGAGCAGACACACCTTAAAGTGGATATTTTTTAAATTTTTTCTTATTTTTCTTTTCTTGTTTTTATTTTTATTGTTTTCTTTTCTTTCCTTTTTTCTTGATTGTTCATTTTTATGTAAGTGTGATCACTGTTTCTGGTTTTGTTGTTGTGTTCCTGTTTGTATTTCTACCTCCTCTTTTTCCTTCCTCTCTTCTTTATCAGTTTCCCAAAGTTTGCATAATCTTCCTCTGTCCTCCAGCCTTGCTTTTAATCCTTTTCTCTTCTATTTCTCCATTTTTTTTTCCCCAACCCCTTTTAAATTTTCTTCCCTGAGGGTAAAATAGCCATACTGAGGACATATTTCCATATATAATTTTCTGGTTTGTTTTAATTTTGTTATATAATGACAAATCTAGTTCATACACTTAAAGTGTCAAATTAATAGCTACTACAGTTTGTCATTTTCTAAGCTGTGTTTGATACTATTGTTTTTGCTGTACTACTTTAGCCAAGGTGACATAACAGTTCTAATCAGCTGTTTTTCCTGGTATGTCAAGACTGAGATTGCGTAAGAGTCATAAACAATACTATAGGCCAGTGCCAAAGAACCAGGGGATAGGCTAAGTAGGCAGCAACTTCTTATCCCCAGTAAATTGAAGAGGTAGGATCTTGGAACAGACTCAAAACTCAAAAAACAGCTACACCTGGAAGACATCTCTGAGAAGTACTCATTTCCTAAGGGTTCTAAATACCAGCAATGAAGCAACTTGCCATAAGCAATTTACAAGCATCAATCCAGGAATTAAACTAAAAAAAGAGAGAGAGAAGAAATGAGAAGATGCTTAAGTAAGATGCAACTCCAAACTTTCAGGTCACCAAAGGCCAACCTAGAGAGCAATGAGATGGAACAATTCGAAACCCACCCACCTGGACTCTCTGAAGTGGTAACAGCAGAAAGAACAAGGCAGATGAACGAGGTTCTAGAAAGAAATCAAATTAGCAATAGTTTCTCAGATATTTACAGAGATAGTGACCATAATGAAAGACATGGTTAGTGATTCTAGCATAGATACAGATTTTTTAAAAAATCACTACATCCTTGTGAAGGGAACAATCCAAGAGGAAGAGATGACAATCATTTATATATATGCACCAAACACTAATGCCACAAACTATACAAAACAAATATTAATGGGCATGAAAATCCAAATAAGCACTAACACAACTCTAGTGGGGGACCTCAATACCCCACTATCACAAACAGGCAGATCATGTAGACAAAAACTCAACAACAAAATTCTAGAACTGAACCAAGCTATTCCAAAAATGGACTTAGTAGATGTTTAGAGAGTGTTCCACCCCACAAAATCAGAGTACACATTCTTTTCAGCTGCACACAGGTCATTCTCCAAAATAGAACACATGCTAGCTCATAGGACATGGTTAAGTAAATGTAAAAGAACAGACGTTACCCCCTGTACATTATCAGACCACAGTGCAATAAAATTGAAGATCAATAGCATAAGGAACTGCAAAACCCCCACAAACACAATTGAATAACATTCTCCTGAACAACCAATGGGTCACAGAGGAAATTAAAGAAGAAATTAGTTTTTGCAATTAAATGATAATACCAGTACTACATACAGGAATCTATGGGACATAATGAAAGCAGTTATATGTGGGAAATTCATAGCAGTGAATGCCCATATTAGGAAAACAGAGAAAGCTCAAATCAACAACCTAAGGCTAAACCTCAAGCTCCTAGAAAAAGCAGAGCATGACAAACCCAAAGCTCCTACAAGAGAGGAAACTATAAAGATCAGAGCAGAAATCAATGCAATGGAGACTAAGAGAAGTATACAAAAGAAAAAATTAATGAATCAGAGTTGGTTTTTTGAAAGAATAAATAAAATCGATAAACCTTTAGCCAACCTTATCAAAAAAAGGAAAGAAAAGGCTCAAATCCATGTGATTAAGAATGAAACAGGTGAAGTCAAAAC